TTCATTATCATGTAACATGCAGCTAGATGACTGACCTGCTACATTCATTTTCCGGGCTTGACACAACGGCCAGCTTGGTCTTGACGTCATTTCCTGTTTTACAGCAGAAACACACTTGGCTTTGTTCTTAAATGGGGCCACACACATTTTTAATGTTTGTAACAAGGTTTAGGGATTACCACCACTTCTTTCTCCTGCGTGAAACACACGATCACAAACATATAAGGGAAAGACGCATGAGATAGGTGATTTATTGAAGAATGCATCGCTGCAGAACGCAGCAGGAATTTTTCACTAAAGTAATTCGGTCATACATGAAAAACATGTTAATCTTTTTCATTACCAGGTTAAAACTATACCTTCGCAACATGAAGGGCAGTAGTGGTTGAACCAGAAATGGAGCATGACTAGTGGGTCCTAGAGCAACGCACTTGGTCATCATGTCATCCAGTTTCCATGAATGGTTGATAACAAGTGAGAGACTTAAAAAATTCTCAGAACTTCTGAACCATGTGTATATCTATGAAATAGTCTCGCCCTCTTTAAGGGAGACCCACAAATATAATTTTATATATTTCAATACTAGCTAGTTATTTCACCCGAATGGCAAACAAACTCTCTATGGTTGCGCTTCATTGTCCGATATAATGACTCATTCATTAATTTCTTTTTAAAGTGGCAAAAACGTATTAAAAGTATATGCCTATCGAAATGTTCATCAAGAGATAACGAACCAATTATCTCATCGAAATAATTACTCCGATTGTTTCTCGTGTGCCAAACTTCAAATCACTTCATAATCTGCCATGAGGTGTCATATTTGAAAATTAGGATCAGCACTCAGCAATAGAACATATACTTTTGAAGCAAGCTTCAATTTTCTTTAGTTTTCTCTTTCATTGGATCTGAAAGGTTCCAGAAAATGTGCCCTTTACAAAAAAGTGCCCTCAGGGATTTTAGCTAAAAATTAATAATTTACTGAATTCAGTACTAGGATAACCAGATACATACCAAGTTTCAGCCTTATCCTTTCGCTCTTCTTCCTGGTTCAAAAATACATTTGGAAAAGTTGATGCATCCAAAAACTGTGCCCTGAGGGTATGCACCTCAAAACGTGAATTTTTCTTGAACTCGGATTCACCCCAGTTATTGGCGTGGCAAGTTTCACGTTTCTATCTCTGCCCAATTCTGTGGACAGAGAAAATATGTCCCCAGGGCATGTGTTTCTTTGGGCATCCAAAACTTGACAATTTTCCTGAACTCAGTGTCAGTAGGCACGTCCATTTCAAGTTTCCGTTTTCCATGTTTATCCATTTGACTGAAGGAAACAAACTATTTGAAAACATTTCTTCTTGAAATTTGCGCCCCTGGGGCATTCACCTCCAAAGTCTGAATTTTTTTAAAACTAAACATCCCAAGAGATAATTATGTATCAAGTTTCAGCATTCTATCTCTGCTCAATTCAGTTGGAAAATAATATATAGATATTTGAAAACTTTAACCCAGGGCAAAGAGGTTCAAAAATGACCGTCTGCACAAGACATGAAATTATTCGCTGGCGCCAATGAAAATCGTATAACTCGATGGAACAAATGCACACCGTCCAATAGGATTATGTGGAAAAGTAGACCCCCGTGAGTACTCTATGCAGCAGATGCATCGTTTGGTTGCAATAAATGGACGCTGGTTGTAAAGTTTTCTTTCCAATCACCCCAAATATATCATTGAAAACATAAAGGTGTGCCCCTGGGGCACGTACCTCCAAAGTCGGATTTCTTCTGAACTCTGCATCATAAAAGGTACAAATGTACAAAGTTTCTGATTTCTAACTTCTCTGAAACATGGTAAGAATTAGTGTCAGTCACTCAGTCACTATCGTCTTTAGCGAATTTGTTTCCCCTTCGGGCAAACAAACGCGGTATGAACGCGTCTTCGGCGTGGTTCCCTTCATAAAATATTTAAAGTAATACACTCGGCGCATCCCTTTTCGATTCTCATAATTACAAATTGTAAAACTTATTATATCATTAGGATTTTTTATCGTAGGTTTAAGCTACTTCTGCTTATGTGAAGGGATTTTCAATTTGATATTAGGAATTAGAATCAGGCAGAGATTCTCATAGCCCCGGAACTGTAACATAATAGTTTCTCTTCCATACAGCGCCTTCAATTCAATAGCAATACTTTAAGAACCACATTTCTCTGAGTGAAATTATGTAAGTTTACTCATTCTTTCCCTTAAGCTAAGAACCTCCAATATGACGGTAAAAAATTCCGAGAACTTTTAGCAACAGAAATGTATGCCCTGGGCGCGTGGAATACTAAATAAAGAATTCCCTTGATTTTGTTTGTCCCAAGAATATTTTCAAATCCGTTTCTTGAAGCAGAAATTATTTGGAAACGTCCCCGCAAAAAAATAGTACCCCCATGGAAAAATCTGAAAATGTATGTTTTCCCGTAAATTAGCACTTCAATAGGAACTTCCACGTCCATTTTCAGCTTTCTACGTCTTTGCTTTGCCTGAAGTAAAACTAATTATATAAACACGTACCCCTGCATAAATACCACCTGAAGGCATATACTTGCATATGCCGACGCTCCATTGTACAGGTTAGTCATTCATCCCTTAACCTAATTTCAAAGTGGCAAAAACGTAATTATGACTATCGATAATCGTGTACCGATTATTCTGCTTCACTCCGAATCCTGTCTGAACGGAAGGCACTTGATTGGAAAAGAAATTCAACTGAGAAACCGTCAACCGCAAGTCCATCGTTAGCATCGGCTATAATTTCGACACGTGTAGGAATAAATAGCAGACCTTTTCCAAAGTGGACCCCCATTATCGACGGTGCCCTTCTAGGCCATATGCTATGGTATCTTACCTGCATTGCTTTCATATTTGGCGTGGTGCCCAATTATTGATTAACACATATCACTGGTGATTGCTTATCGCGTTTCCACCAAGCGACTGCAGGTTCTCCCCTTCGGTCAATTCTTTGTTGATGCTTTCTTTCACTGTAGATTTTAATTTTTTAGGTCAAGACAGGCGATTCGCATCGTCGCAACCATGCAATGCTTTTCTGCTTGGATCTCACGTCATGACCGATTCATTTGGGTCTTTACGATCGATAAAGTGAAAATAATAACGTAAACCCTTTGCTTCATATGTCACGCAAACGGGCCGCTCCTCCGGTCAGCACTGAAGGTGACCATCTTCGCGATGGTGTGATTTGACCGGGAAGAAAAATAAGTATTGTTGAAGCTTCCTCAGGACGCAAAGAAGCAGTCGTCGCAGACGAAACGATTGGAATTGGCGCGGGAAAAACATTTGCCACCGCAGTCGCGATGCGAACTGCAGAAAACGGTGCTTTGGAAAATGCTTGCCCTGGTGGTCGTTTGGTTAGAACTTGAGTGCTGAACAGCGCGCAGCAGGGAATGCTGCACTTAGGGAGCGTAGGGCAGCGCAGACTGCGGAACAGGCAGCGAATGCTGAGGCAGGAGGAGGAGCACAGGAGCGAACTGCTTCATATACTGTATTTATGTATCAATAAATATTTTCAAATTTCCGCATATTAGACGGCCAGCGTAGCGGCCGCAGGTCGCTAGCAATTTCTATAGTCACACCTTTAATTAGATTCCATAAACACTTTTCTAGCTCGAATACGACGAAAAAGAGCTCTTTGACCAAAAAGGTCACTTTTCCTCTTGAGGGTTAAATTTAGGGTGGCATATCTCAAGAACCGTTAGAGCCAGAACGCCGAGATTTTTATTCTCTCCTTAACTCTTGAAGGCCGCCATACTTGAAAATAGTCAAGCAAATCGACGTCAGAAGTGCAACCATGCCTTGACCACTTGAGTTGGAATGCCTCAAATTGTGCGTAACAATTCACCTACTATCCATCCAATATACGAGGGGTGTTCCAAAAGTCTCCGGGAAAAAATTTATTTACAAATAACTAGAGGTCGTCGAGGTTAGAAGTTTTAAACCAATACCCCCGAGGATATCGAAACATGTTACCTCCGGTCAAAAATAATTTATGTGGTTGCCTTCATCGTCTTCACAAGGAAAAAGAGCTCATTTTGCAGCAGCGTTCCATGATCCACTTCCTGTGTTTGGAGGGTGCTAGCGGGACGGAAATTCACCGGCAGTTGGAAAAAGTGTTTGGACCAGAAACCCTAAACAAGACACAAGTTTTTGATTGGATCAGAAAATTTAAAGGACAGGTGACCGTTACAGACGCGAATCGCAATGGGCGGCCTTCGGTTGCAGAGACTGAAGAGAACATGGAGAATGAACTGGTGCAAGCTGACAGACTGGTGCCAAGACTTGTTGCAGAAGGCCTCTGTCAAGAATATGATGGTGACAGTTTTCTGGGACCATAAAGGGATATTGCTAATCGGTTTTTAGAGCCCATTGCAACCATAAAGGCTCAGCGATACTGCGAGACTCTGAAGAAACGCAAGGTGTTTTCGAAGAAGAGGTCATCATTGCCGGGGAAGAAACTCTTGCTTCTTCTTGGCAACGCCCGGTCGCACAAAGAATTGGCAACTTCCACCCTTCTTGCCGAGTTTCAGTGGACTGTTGCTCCACATCCGCCTTACAGCCCTCATCTTGCTCCCTCAGACTATCATCTCTTTGGATGCCTGAAAAATAACCTACGGGGATTTTTCATTTCAAGGAGGGGACCTCAAGGACGCAGCAACAAGCTGGCTCCGACTGCAGGAGCCCGACCTCTACTGTATAAACAGGGAATATACTCTTTGCCATCCCGGTGGCAAAAGTGCTTGGATCAACAGGGCGAGTATTTTGAAGGGTAGGGGAGATGTTGAAGAATATACGTGTGAAGTTTCTACTCATTCGACGCTGTACAGGGTGGGGACGTCTATCGGCTATTTACTAAATCCGGATCTTTACCCAGAAGTAAAGGGGTTTCACTTTAGAATTGAATATTTCAGTTTGCCTATTGGACTAACATTCTTGATTCCTTTGTCTGATATCAGTTAACCATGGCCGCATGTGGACGTTGCAACCCTTGACTGCGACCAGAGNACCAATGAATCTCTAATTCCTGGTCATCCACTTTCTTGATTTGCCCCAGCCACGGTCTTGATGCTTCCTCTGTATATACCGCGGCAAGGATACCTGGGCGGAGATCCTGAGTTCCGGAAAAAATACCTTCTCTGCGACTTGCCACGGGTCCAATGATCGGCTGTGATATAAAAATATAGCGTAAGTTCATGTTCACTCTCATGCAACTCAAAAGGGTGACGGTTGGAAGCTACATATACAGGGGATGGGGAAAACCCTCTGCGAAATTAAACGTATGCATCTCTGGTTCAGTGTCCCCATATATTCTGGTAAGTTGACATGAATAATGCACATATATTTGCGCATCAGAATAATACATTTCCAATTTAGGTGGTTTTGCAGAAGCAAAACTTTCACAAATATTTTTATTAAAAAAAGTTTAAAAAAGACTATAAACTACCAGTATCTTCCTAGTGACTGGACTACCCTGGTCTTGTTTGTCAGCATAAGATATTTAAAAATCTGATCACGCTTTGAGCAACTCCCTTTGTCGATATTAGTTGCTCATCAGTCATTATTAACAATGTGAGGCCAGCCATAAGTACGCATCTTAGTATGTCGGCACCTAACCAGCTATTTATTTAACCAAATATTTATCCCGAAAGGCCATAGATGATAGTGACATGTGTTTCATTTAAATATGAAAGGAGATCATGCTTTCACAAGTATATGTACAGGGTGGACCAAAAAAAATTTTTTCAACGATGCGCTATACTGCAATCACTACACATATTTTAATATGGTTTAAGTCATTTGAGAGAGGAATGACTAAACTTTAAAATAGTGTACTATATTTGAAATATTCTCAACAGTTTCAGAAATGCAGAGACTCATATGAACTACAAGCAAAAAATCTGCTGTTTTAGCTGCAGAGGGGATGGGCTGTTGCGGCGGAAGGTCAAGTACGATTTGCGTCGGAAGGGCGACGACGCAGTAATTGTCTCTTGTTCATATGAGCTTCTAAAAATTTTAAAACTCTGAAAGGAAAGCTAATTCAATCCTCTTTCAAATACCTTAAAATGCAGTAAAATATTCAGTGCGTGAATTGTAGTGAATCATTGAAAACTGTCTTTTTTTGGCCACTCTGTGAAGCCAGTTTTTTTCTCTTCCATGTAAATATACGTTGTAGTTTTCTAGTTAAAAGCATTGCATTACACATGAGTAAATTTAAGTCGATACCAGCCCACAATGAAGGTATGTTTTGGCTGCAACACAATCGAAATATTATGTATGTTCGAAAGCTACACGCCTCCCATATGGTGTAAAAGATTAATGAAACAAGAAACCTCATGATATCCAGCATTATATAGATTGAACATTAGAGGAATGACGTTGCTTAACAGATTTACCACGACTTTTTTCTAGGACTTATCGAAGCTTAGATTGACTATAATTTGAATACAGAGGAAGAAATGTTTGAGTATCTTTATCATCTGATGGCGAGGTCCAGTTCATTGGGAAGGCACAGTTCCTTCAAAGCCCTGTGTAACACCTAGGTAACTTTTCCTTACTTGCACAAGGGGTCCAAAAAGGTTTTGCCCATGATCAGCAAGGTAATTGCTCATCATGGAACTTCTTGGGATGCTGCTGGTCGCATTGATCCTGTGTTGCATTAGCTCCTGGATGTACAGAGTAGGTGTCTGAAAGTGAAAGTATTGAATTCTCTATTGAAATTTATTATTGAAATCTCTTGGGCACTTAATTCGAAATAAAATTCATCTTTGAAACATTACCAACAGTCTTGTGTCTGGGGAGAAGTTTGCCCACGCTTGTATGATGTCTCCATCCATCCGAGGAAAGTAGCTCGGAATGTAGTTCTTCACATCTTTCAGCCCGCACCTTTCCCAGTCTGGAGGAGTCAATATTGAGAAGGCCTCGAGGTCTGGCTTCGACTAATGTCAGAGGGAAAAGCAACAGTGTCAATTTCTGGGTGGGCAATTTGTATGGTACGTAAAGAGCCCTGCCATAATTTCTCCACTTGTTAAAGCAATATTTCAGTGTGCTGAGGGAAAATAAGAATAAATCTACCAATAGTGTGGAAATCGTTATTTTGGTACTCGATCAGGCCACACTTTGAGACAGGAAGAGCAACATCCCTGTTTGACATCGAATCGATGAGATTATGTGTCACAGTTGGGTCCAGGTTTCTCCATGTTCGAGGGAGCAGTTAACACCATGTCATAAGATCATTAAGGTCAATATGTATACTACTTCATATGGATTAATTACGTCAGTTAAAAGAGAGGCTTGATTATCGAATGTATGCTTCCAATATTTCCCATATATACGATGACTACGTACAGCACATCCTATTTTGAATTTAAAATATATATTGCTGCTTAATTCCTGCTTACCTTAAGACACATATATCCAAGATCTGGGCCAAGACATGCCTTCTCATACTGTACATCTCTCTCGTTTGGACACCATTCTTCTTCAGCGTGTTTCCGGACGAACATTTGTGTGATGCAATTGAGCTTCCGAAATCGGAACCCAAGTGGCTTGGATTGCCCCTTAAAGTGACGTGGGAGATGTGGCTCAATCACAGATTTGAAATTATGCACAATATCTATTTCCTCAATGTGAAGAGCCATGTTTCGTCCCATCCTTTGAATTTCACTCAGGCACTGCAATAGCGCTGCAAGCAAGATATGATGAAGAATGTTTAATAAAAAAAACAATGGCACAACACGGGCTATAAAAATGGTTGGGATTATATAAATATTGTGACTTCAAATGTCCAAACGATATTCAAGCTCTTGCCACACTTTATGAGCTGTCAGGCGTAAAGCAGCCATGATTATGTTTCTCAGTTCATGGTGATTCACCTCTTTGGATTCGTTCTTGTGTGGCCATGTGAAGGACGTTGTTTGATCAAAAAAAGTAGAATATCGCCAAGAATTGAAGAACAGAATCGTCGCAGCTATCTAGTTACGCCTGATACTTGCATAAGATGTGGCAAGAGCTCGAACATCGTTTGGATATATGTATAGTCACAAATGAGACCTGCATGGAATTGCAATAATGGGTAATAAATGGTTGAGTTACTCCTTCTTTTACTGGCTGAATCATTTGATTTCGGGGATTTCTTGGGATATTAATTTGAAAAATTCCGGGTGTCCCAAAATAATTTTTTGACACCATGCAATTCTGAAAAAATCTTGATCCTTGAAGTTCTGTATAATAGAGAAGGCGTTCCACTTCCTTTTCTCCAGGCTCAAACCTACGCAATCCATATAAGAATATGTTGTGAAAAGAAACTTGCCTGAAAATGTGAGCATTTCAGTGTCGCGCAGGTACTTGTTTATGGAGCTCAAGAGCTGATCGATGTCCTCATGAGTATGACCAACTGGGTGGTGTAGGCGGCTCCGACGTGATTTAACGTTAATGACTATCACGAAGAGATCGCCAGCGTGTTCGAGGTTTATAATGACTCCGTTGACTCCTTAAATATACAACTACTTTATTGTGACAACCAGCTTGGAAAGAGGTCAATAATAATGAGAACCAGGAAATGGATATGGGGCAAAAATTCAAAATTCTGTTCCCCTAACCGCTTATTATACTATAGATACTCAATGAGCAATACCTGAATATAAACCCGTGTGGTATCGGTGGGGTGACAGACAGCATACGATCTCCAGCACTGACGTCAAGGGTCCACTCAATATCCCGCGTCTTCTCTCAAGTTTCTCCTCACTATTCTACAATTTGACTCCCTTGCCCGACTCACTCACTTGACATACCTGACTCGACCCGACCCGACCCGACCGACCTGACCGCGCTACTCTCTCGCGCGACCCTTTTATTCCGTTATGCCGGACATGCGCATTATCTTTTACTGTGATTTCATCATCTTCATAAAAGTACCTCCTACAGTGGAAGTTCAGGACCACCTGTTTTCGGTAACAAAGTTTGAATACATATAAGTTTTGCTCTCCTTGTAACTCTCTTGCCTAAACCTTTTTTTTAAGTGGAATGAAACTTTCAGATTTTTTGCTGTGTTGGAGGAACGTGTGCAACCTTCAATTTGTTGACCAGCTTTTTTTCCAAACAAATGTCTTAAAGAACAAAAAAATGGAAATTAAAAGAAAACTCACCTCTTCAAATATGTCAGTGTCTATGAGAAGATGTGCAAGAGCACACGTGTACCTATTTTTATTTTCTCTCGCGCAGTTATCCATTTGCACGAAAAGCTTTCTTCCAAGTTCTTGCTTCAGATGCATGAGTGATCTGAGGATTGTCTCCACGCAGAGGTTGGAGTCATGAGGAAACTGGGACATGTCCACATAAGCAAACTCTCGAATGCCTTGGGATGTGTATGCCATGATCCCTATGAAAAGAAATGAACATAAATCACACCATGCAGTGATCTCTATTGTGATAAATAATATTAAAACCTCATTATCAAGAAATAAAGTTGTTTGAATTAGTTTTGAGTGCATCCCATACTTGCATTTTACTCCTTCCAACTGTTTCAATGCTAAAATAGCTTCAATTCTCGAGAGAGTTTAGCGTATTTTCGGATTCATGGGGTGTGTTCTGGGCATCTCAGGTAGCAGGATATCATAACTTGATGAATGTCGAGAAATATGTGAGGACTTAGAATGGCAGACCAATTCAAAAGCCAATAATTCATACCTACCCCAGAGGTATATTGGTCCCTCATAAGTGAGCTAGTCAAAATACATTAGAGTCTTCCTTACCTGTGATATGAGTGATGAGCTTTGGCAATGCTGCAGTCTTCTTGTCCTCCACTCGGAATCTGGGAACGTTGGTTTTACTTTGGTCCATCCCATCAACTACCAAAGTTATCCAGCTCTCACCTTCCATAGCAAGGAGCTTGTGCTTTTGGTAGTTGGCCCGTTGAACCCTAAAAAGAGAATTTCCGGTCCTATATCCAGAATCTATCGAGATTGTTGTGCCGCAACCTCTTATGGTAAATTCGATTCAGGTACTGTAATGCCTCCAGCTGCTATTCATTACTCGCTTTCCAATTCAAAATATAATCTCCATAAATATTCATGCATGGAGTCCAAATCCAAGGTGCTGATGACAATCCTATGAAAACGTTAAATCGAATGAATAACGATAGAACAAGATAACTCTGTTTGACCCGAGCATTCACTTACTTGGCTATCCTGAGGTGTTCGGTGAGGAGATCCACCGCCAATTTCTTGTCTTTCGCGTCTTTGGCAGAGTTTCTGCTTTTCTTCAACTCGCTGCATGTATTGCAGCCGAGAAAGGCGTTTGGCTGTGAGTTAAGTGAAACAATGGACAAGAGTTCCAGCATATAACAACTTGGGTATTGCATAATCTCTAGGTTAAAATAGTCATGCTGAACAGGTAATTCTAACCTTCCCGAGAGAAATGCGAAGCTTCTTCAAAAGCAGCGTGAAAGATGTGTACTGAAGAATTTTCTTTGGATCCCAGCCCTTCGATGTCAATTGTTGAACCATTTCACGATGAATCATTCGTGCGGTGTATCCCTGCACGTATATCTTATTTGTAGGGCATGGTGAGTGTTGTCCAGCATGATCCAGGAAGTTCCTCAACCATGCTTCAGCAATTTCTTCTTTTGGCTTTCGCCTTTGGCGCCGGAGGAGAAGTCCTGGCTTCTTCTTTTGAAGCTTATTCCACTCCTTTTCAGTGACATTAAACAGGGTGAGGCAACATAGAGTGCAGAGGGAGATTCCTTTGTAAGAGAAACTCTGACGGCTTTGGGAAAAGTTTTCTTCAATCAGGCGACTTAGGAATTTTCTCTTCTCTCGCTGAGACATCACATCGACCTTCTTCGTTGCATTGTGCAGGTCGCCACTCTCCATCTTTCCGATGCAGCAGTGATAGAGAAAATTTCGCTTTCTCCTCCGATGCGCCTTTTTAGGCGTCGATTGGGGTCTGCCTGCGAAGCCTATGACATTCCAAAATAAACACATGACATTCACAGAGCATGAAATGCTCAGTAACGCACTTCTACTGTACTTTGCAGGAGGGAATTAGCCTTTGAAAAATAAATATCTCTTTAAAAACTTGCATGAATTCGCGTCGTCACAGGAATTTAACATGGCATTTTCAGAAAATCTTCTGACGACTTAATAAATTGCTGCGAAAAATGCCAACCTCTCATTGTTCTATAAGAAAATTGAAACTTTCATTAATTCTCCTTTCAGTACCGATATTGCCTATTAAACTGCATGCAATATGAAGGAAACGCATCACGCGTCGATACACTATTTACTTAATTGAAATGACATTGGGTAGGTATTAATTTAAAGAAAAAGAGGGATTATCTAATAAACTGAGAGGACGAGGTGTTGGACGTATGTGGCATTTCAAAAAATTTGCCTGTGTGCGGAAATTAAATTGATTTTAATCGCAACACAGAGAGGAAATTGAAAATACAAAATAACTTTCATGCACAAACCATACAGTAAGTAGGCATTGTCAAGTTGACTAATAACAGCCTTGATTATAAAATATTATCGGACGAATTTCACAACTGCTGTGCCCCAGTATCCATTTTTGCATGGCCTAAATATACAGTACAAATGCTGTACTGCAACTTCTTGGAAAAATGATCTGACATTAAGTGAATAATTGTAGTTTGTGTTAACGGGCCTCGTAGAAAATATATGGCTGTCAGCACTTATGCAAGAGATTTAAATCCATCCTATGAAGGCTAAATATTGCTTTCGTCTAAATTTGGTGCAAAACGTTTATGCGGCTCAAACCCCACACATCACGAGAGTAATCGATAGAGTAAGAGTGATCGAAATTTCTGCAAGGAAAACTGCTAGGATAGTAGACGAATTTTGCTTCCAGATGAGGAAGAGAACATCAGAGGTTCTTCGATTCTAAATGCCATACACGCATGCCATGTGGTCAATTCAACTCAATATTACCTGAGTCTGATCCGAAAAATAGAAGACTCTGACACTAAAAGTCGAGACTTGCAATGAAATAAATGACCCATGGTCTCATAACATCCCGGAAAAATTATTCGGGTCCAATGGGTTATCATATACTGTACTTCAAATAAGTCGAATGCTATGGTACCTCTGAATTATCTTTTACATAGAAGGATACGTAATTGAATGAAAATGGTGTGGTTATTGGCTAGATGAGCCGTAGAAGGAGGGAAAGTAGAAAGTGATTGTTTTCAGGGCATGACAACTCTGAGGTCTTACTCATATTCCAGGCATTATCTCCTGACTTAGAAAGATGCAATGAATTATTATTAATGCACAGATTCTGCAACGAATGCAAAGGTAAGCAGCATATAGAACATAAAAGTCATATTCTTCCTCGCAAGACTTACAATAGAAATATAATTGGAAAAAATTATCACGAAAAACATCATCCTCGCTTTATATTTTTTGCGTAAGAAGTGGAATTAAAAACGCTGTAATCAATGTAACAGACTTGCATGCTTCAACCTGAGCATATTGACAGTACTGAAGTGCCAATTATGAACGATCCCTCCACTTGTCAATGACGTTCTTGTCATGAGACGGAACTAACCTTTAAGGGGATCCTCGTTGAACCCATTGACATCAAAAGAGTCCGTCCCTGAATCGAGTAAAGAGGAGAACGGTTTCAATTAGAAAATCAATGTATTTGTCATGCCAAAACGGATGAGAATTGCAAGAGAGATAATTGCCCAGAAACAAGGAAATGAGGCTGACTCTAAATATCAGCCTCGTTATGAATATATCAATAGAATCAGCGGACTCAACCCAATCTCTCAGCACGCTTCTCAACTAGCATTGAATGACTATAATGACCGTAAAAGGCCAGGGTATATCTTAGAAGTTCCTCAAAGATTAAATAATAAATTTATTATAGAGCGCTTTAAGCACTCTAAAACCTATTCCTATAATAATGTTGTGCAACGCCAAGGAAAAAGTATTGTCGCGAACGCAAAAGTGAGTCATACACGGTATGGCCCAGAGGTGGCGCTAGGATCGCTTGACCCGGACCCGGGTCAAGTTGGCCACCCTATTATTATTAATGTTGATGGATCACCATTAGGATAAGAGTCAGTGCCCATACGTCTGGTACCTTGGCATTAGAGTAAACATTAAGTGGGTACCTGAAATATTTCTATAAGGATAATAAGGCCCTGAAATATCAGGACTTTACAAAAGGTCAGGGATCATGGCCGCGACCTAGGCTCCAAGCCGAATAATCTTCAGGGAAGAAGGAGACCAAGATCATCTCGAACATCTTGCGTTTGCCTCGACCTCTCATCTTGTCTGAGCTTAATTATTTCCTGAACTTAATAGTGCGCTCCTGAGCTTAAAAGCACACTTCCGAGTGATCCGTGCCACCGTGTGGCTGGACGTACCCCTTTGTCCAGTCCCCCATACTCCGTGCCATCACGGGATCATAATTCGGTTGAATCTCTCGCGACAAGTTCCATCGACGACACAGCCCCGGGTCGGACGACGATTGAAGGAGAACCTTCGTCGACAGCCAGCCGTCTACCTGGTCCAGGACAAGCCTTCCCGGCCAGCCACCTCATCCCGACCGCGTCCTTCCTCCGAGTCTTCCACTACGCCCACGCCACCCCGCTTACATTCTCCTGTCTACGCCCGCTCATTCTCTTTCGCTGTGTGTCCTCCTTCGACCATTGCAATAAATAGATTTTCACCTGTCCGAGGGTCTTTTTGATTCGCCCATCGTGTTCTGCTAGAGGCCAAGAGCCCAAAGCCGTGACAGTATTAAGGACCCTCCTCCTGACCCCTAAGTCGTTCCGTTCTTATTGGTCTGGTGTTGACAGTGCTTTTCTTTCTGCCTCGCGAGAACAGATAAAGCTCAAAGGTCCTTGACCTCTTCCCCTCTCTCTCGAACCCACGCTATCCCCCCCCCACCCTCTTTCTCTCTTTCTTCCTGAAGATCCTGCGTGGAGCTGTGCTTTTTTTTCCCGCCGAGCGGGAAACCCTTCTCCACAACATCGCTCTATACTCCATCTCACTTCCTTCATTCATCCCTTCCTCTCTCTCTCTCTCTCTCTCGTTCTCAGCAATAAAAAATCCCGACATTTCAGAACTCTCACCTTAGCGGCTTAACCCACATTGTCAACCTCAACCTCATCTCGCATGAATCCAGTAAAGTAAATATAAAAAAAGCAACTCTCTGTCTTCAAGCATAAATAAATGTAAAAGCCAAAACAAAAACAGGAGAGATCCAGGTGTGGATGCGGTTCTGTTCCCTCGTCGTCACACCTTAGTCATGGGACACCTTCCCATGACTATGTCATCAGCCTCACCAGGGATTTCCACTCTGCCAACCCTGGTGTTTGCAGGATCTCACCATGGTGGGCGGGAGCCATTTGACGGTCCACCACATGGCAGTGTTGAAGTTCAATTAGCTACGGATATTATGGGGGAAACTGACGCGTGTATACAAGAAACTCCCGCCTATGAAAAGTTTCTCATTTTCTGAAGTGATGTCCGCCCCTCCGGCTCAGCAAATTCGTGTTATT